AAATCAGACAATGCAAGATGCAAATATCTACCACTCCAAATTCTGTCCAAAAGTCATCACTGCTGAAGTGCCAGCCTTGATTCTCCCTAGGTACATCATTCCCAGAAAGAGAACCAGCTCAAATCTTGCTGCAGAAGAGCACTGCACCTCCAACACTAACACTCCTTTTCCTTTCTTCAGGGACATCCCCTCCCATTACAACCTCAGAAAGTAAAATTCCTCAAACACTTTCATTTATAAAGGCTTACAGTAATAAATCATTATTGTTGTTGTTTATAAGCAACAACTTCTGCTTTTTAAAAAGTTACTTTGTTTGAAAATTCCACACAGCTGCCCATAAATGGTATTTGTGTAATTAGGGTTTGGGTTTATGATCATCTGAATCTTGCCTTTCCCACTTTTTTTTTTTTAATTAGGGTCTTCTAAGCCATAGAAAGCAACCAACTTCCCACAAAAAAATCTATAAACACCCATTTTCTATGCTACAATCAGTTAGATGGGAGCAAACAACTCCATTTTGTCAGGAGAAGCACGGGATGCAAATTTGTGCTAACATTATCCTGATAATCAGAAGGCAAACAAGAACTATTTCTCCCCTAATGCCATTTGTTTCAGCACTAAACCACCAACATTTTTTACATAAATGTGGACAGGCAGGATGTGACCCTTGCAGACCATCCTGTCATGTGGTCACAGCCTTCCCATGAGAGCTGTTGTCAGTCACAAAGGTGGATTTATCCAACCACCAAATCACACCCTGGGCTTTCAGAAAAAAGAGTGACCAAATATACAGCAAGTTACACAATCAGCTACACACAAACACTTAAACACTTGTTCACAAGCCAAAACAATGTTTGGTTCTAAAAATTAATTAAATAAAACCCCCTTTTGTTTATAAAACACAAAGCAATGTAGCACCAATACAGCAAGGACATTATTTGGCTTCTCTAAAACCTACCACTGGGATATCACCAGAGTTATCAAACTCATGTATTAAAACTGGCAGGAAAATTGACACTTCTAATAACATTCATAACATTCTATAGTCATCAATATTTTTTTTTTTCATTTGGGATCAGAAAATAGAAAATTTTCAACTAAAATTGAAAAAAGCAGATTTGCATTGCCACTACCACACAACAACTCTGCACTGGCCACAATGCTGCAAGTGTTCCCCATTGCACCATCAACTGCTTCTAAGGAGGTTATTTGTAAAATTACTTCTATTAAATGAGCAGCTACACATCATTGAGTGAATATGCCCATGGCCCCCAGAAATGTGAGAGACTTGAACACATGGAATGTATTAAAACATTTCCTCTATCTGATATTTCTATATATTGCTACAATAAAGAAACCTCTTTGCATTTCATGACTTTTGCATCTAGAAATTATTAAGTAGGATAGTCAGTGGATACATGTGGATACACAGTCACCACATCTATTATTTATATAAGATGCAGAAAGAGGGGGGGGAAAGTCAGAATTGAGGCTGTTCAGGATACTGAAGTACAAACTATATGTATGTATCTTTGAAGTTTTAAACTTAGCTTTGCATTGTGGAGAAAAAACCAAAAACATCCCGTGGAAAACACTGACAGCTGCTTAAGTCTAATTCAGAGTTCACTTAAATGATACTGGAGGCACTTGCTGTGCCTTGTATGGCAATTACACCTAAGGGGAAAATGGGGGGTTGGTAATTGCAGGGTGTCCTGGTCGGGCAGAGCCAGGGCAGGATGAGAACTCACCCTTCCCTCACTAATGCTCCCTATCCATCAGCCCAGAGCCCAAATATCAGCTCTTTTATTGCAGTTCATTCTTTACCCAGCAAAACCATGTCACATTTAATTTTTACAATAGCCTCATTGAAAAAGAATAATTAGGTTTTCTTTTATAGGGGTAACTTACAAAGAATGTTCTCTATGTAGACTGATGGAGAAAAATCCATTTCAGCCAATTACAGATCACAGAAAGTGCCCCCCTCAAAACTGCCTGTTCTAAGAATATGAATAAATGTGGCTGAAACACAGGTCCTAATCAATTTCCAGATTATAAAACACAATTTTTTCAATTTCCAATGTATATCTAAACAAAAGACAAATACTAATATTTCTAAATCCAAACAACAAAGCAAACCATAGACAAAAAAATCCACAGAGTTGGCAATCTCAGCATGTTTTTTATATAAGTTATTTAAATGTTGTTTTTCTTCTCACAGGGAGTCCTCTTCAGCTCTTTACATGACCAGTAATAGAAGTTTATAATTATGGCACAAAAGATCTGTTACTGTCTTCAGACAAGACTGTTGTCATTACCCAAGTGAGCAGATTAATCACTTAGTCATGATTATAGCATTTTCCTCTTTCACAGTAATGAGAAATAACTTGTAAACATTAAAATTTAAAAACAAATTAGTTGTCAAAAGTGTATCACAAAGACTAACATTAACATTGCTGCTCCAAATAACAAGGAGTGAGCCAAACCCTGATCCCCTCTGCAGGGATTTGTTCTATTGCACTAGCAGGCAATTAACCTGACTTGCATTTAGTGTTGATATGATAAAATAAATAGATCTGTTCATGCATTTTTAAAATACACAAGTAAATGTCTTACTTGGGATGCTGATAATGGGCTGTACTGATCATCTCACATCATCTATCAGTTTGAAAGTAACTTATCATTTGTGTGTGCTTACTATTTTATAGGGAATGAAAATCTGAAAGTTACATAAAGATATGTTTAAAATGAAAAACAAACCTTGATTGTTGGATATAGAAATGTGTTCGTGCACTCCCCTGAATAACATTCTCCCAGCCTATTATTCCCAAATTTAAAATTAAATAGCTATTTCTTAGACAAATTTTATTTATCTTGTTCCTAGTCAATTATTTCTTGTGTGTTTATTATTTTTTTCAATATTAATCTAGTGTTTTGCAAAGAAAAACTGCACAAAAATAAATTGCAAGATTTAGGCCTAAATTCTGGTCTCCAAAGGTAAGAAATGACAGCCCTCTGCTGGCTAACAAATATGTACCCACGAGAAGGACATCTCACAACAGCTTTACATTGATACAACATTCGGCCCAAGTAAAAGTATATAAAAATATATTGAGTAAAAATAAAATTGTAATACAGGGATGCCTGAAATATTTTATCTGGACCATTAGGAAACATTCTGTCTATCCTGTAGGAAACAGTAGAGCAAGGAAATGGCTGAATCCTGAATTATATGGACAACTCTGTAGAATACTGAAATTCCTCAAAGAAGTAACTTTATTGGGCTTCAGTTTCCCATATAGTATTCAAAACCAGCAATAAATTTCAATGTAATCATTGTGTTACTGTGTCTTTGTTTTGTTCAATTAAATGACCTGTAGTCCACAAAAATAAAAAGTTGTCCAAAAAAAACCCAAAACTGACTTTCTGACATTTTTATGGTCTTAAATGCAAACATCAGAGAGCTTATTGGCAGCCAGATAAAAATGAGAATCAAAGCATGATATTTGCCACACAGTTAGCAATGTGATCCAACTTGCAAAGAAGAAATTGTTTAGGTATCAGCATAAAATTCCATAAACATGAAACATGCATGAGAAAAATCAAGACCAGTGTCTATATTTTATTAATCTTTGTCGGTTTTTAAAGACTTCTTCTCTACTTTGCCCTGAGGACCTGTACTGCATTCTAAAATACAAAGACATACATTGTAAAGAATCTGCATTTTTCCTACATTAATTTAAAATGTTCTTTAGCATAATTCTGACTGTGTGGAAAATTTACAAATAATGCTTTACAAAGTGTTCTTTCATTAACTGTGCTGACTGGAACCGGTGTGCAGTAAAGGAACACATTGGCAGCATGTGCTTTATTTTCTCTCATTAGAAAAACACAGAAACCCAAAGGAACCCCCACTGCAGCTGCCCACAGGTGACAGCGTGAAACAAAGAACTGAAAGTGTTTATTTGAATATATTTGACCGTTGGCTCAACGCCTGATAACGGCACTTTACCCAAAGCAGGGATTACTGACAGAGATAACTGGAGTAAATAGGAGCGATGGGAGCATTTAGCGCAGGTTCCCGGGATGGAAGCAGCCCCCGAACCCTGCACACAAAGCCGGCAGCTTCTCCTTCCCTTTCCAGGGCGGGATCGCGACCCAGCCGAGCCGGGGCCACCCCGGGGGCTCTGAGCAGCCTGGGCCAGGGGAGGTGTCCCTGCCACGACAGGGCGTGGAACTGGGAGATGTGAGGGTCCTTTCCACCCCAAACCTTTCTGTGATTCCATGATGCTCGGTGAATGGCAGGGGGAGTGGGAGGAGTGCCCCACATTTCCAGCTGTTTCAGAAAGCAGCTCTGAGGAGCGCCTTCACCCTCTGCACACAAACTGCACTGACCGGGGCGGGCACCACGGAAACGGCGAGGGGCCGATGCCTTGTGAGAGGAGGGCTCAGGAGAGTTTGGGTTTGGTGCTTAAAAGAACCCAGTAAAGAATAATGGAATCACAGAATATTCTCAGTAGGAAGGACCCACAAGAACCATCGATCCTGGCCCTGCACAGGACACTCCAACAATCCCGCCCTGTGCCTGAGAGCGGTGTCCAAACGCTCCTGAAGCACTGTCAGCCTTGGGGCCGTGCCCACTGCCCTGAGGGGCCTGTTCAGTGCCCACCCTATGGATGAAAAACCTTTTCCTCGTATCTAACCCAAACACAAAATGATTGGAGAGGACCGGCTACCTCGCATTTCCACTCGGCACACACTCTCCGCACGGGGAGAAGCGGAGGCTCATCTGGCCGCAGTGGGAGCCCGTGTGCGGGGCCCCGTCCCCGCCCGCTGTGGGATCCGTGAGGGGACGGACACTTCTCTGAGGGACGCTCCTGCCCGCGCGCCTCAAGACCCCCGCGCGCCTCGGGAACCCGCCCGTCCTGGAGGACCGCGCGCGGGCCCGACAGGGGGCGCTGTCAGTGAGCGCGCGCACGCGCGTGCGCGGGAGCGGTGTCGCCATGGCGGCGCTGCTGGAGCACGAGAGCCAGATCTTCCTGGAGCTCTTCCACCGCGACGGGCTCGTCGTGTGCGCCCGCGGGCTCGGCATCGACCGCCTGCTGCTGCGCTTCCTGCGCCTCTACTGCGAGCCCGCCAGCCTGGTGCTCGTGCTCAACACCAGCCCCGCCGAGGAGGTGAGGGCAGCTGCCAGCGCCCGCCCCTTCCCCTCCCGGCGCGGCGGGCGCGGTCCGGCGGCTCCCCGGGCTGGCGGGAGGGTGTGCGGGCTCCGGTGAGGGCAGCGCGGGCCGGGCGCTGTGCACCGACCCCGGCACAGAACCACGAAACGGGTCAGGCTGGTCGGGAGCACAGTGCTCATCTGGTGCCGCTTCCCTGCTCAGGCAGGGTCGTTCCACAGCACGCAGCACAGGATTGTGTCCAGATGGGTCTGGAATATCTGCAGCGAGGGAGACTCCCCAGCCTCTCTGGACAATCTGTCCCAGGGCTCGGGCACTCTCAGGGAAGAAGTTCTTCCCGGTGCTCAGGTGGAACTGCCCGGGCATCAGCTCCTGCCCGTTCCTGCTGTGCCATTGCTGGGCCAGGGAGCAGAGCCCGGTCCCTGCTCTGAGCCCTCCCTGCTCACACTGGCACAGGCACTGCTGAGGGCTCCTCTGAGCCATCTCCTCTGGAGGCTGAGCAGCCCCAGCTCCTTCAGCCTTTCCTCACAAGAGAGAGGCTCCAGTCCCCTCATTCTCTTTGTCACCCTCTGCTCCCGCAGCTCCGTGTCCCTTTTGTCCTGAGCTGCCCAGAACTGGACCCAGCACTCCAGATGTGCCCCAGCAGGGCTGAGCAGAGGGGCAGGGTCACCTCCGTGACTGCTGGCAATGCTCTTCCTGATGCACCCCAGGATCTTCCAGGACTTCTTGGCCACAAGGCACTGCTGGCTCAGGGACAGTTTGTTGTCCACCCCCAGGTCCTGGGGAAGCTGTGAAACCACGCACATTCGGGATTGGGGCAGTTGGATTTCTATTCCTGCAGCACAATGAAGTCCTTGTAACACTAATGAGCTAAAACAAATACATAAGTAAGCAGTAAGGAGAAAGGGATGAGACATGCTTGTCGGACTTGATGGGTTTGTCCCTAGCTGTACAAAAAAAAGCTGCTCTTTTTCCTCTGGAACCAGGCATCAGGAAGGGGAGGTCTTCAGAGACCTTTTATAGCAACCATAGGTGAATAAAGATCGCAGCTGTAGTTTGTAAGATTGAGCTTGGTGTATATAATCTACCTGCTGTAGTCATCTCATGACTATAGGTGATGGCACTAAAAGATGATCTCTTCCCAATTCTCTGTTCTTAAGGCAGTAGTAAAATTGCATTTTCTCTGAAAATGAGATATTGAAATATAAGAAAATGTAAGCTCCTTGAAGTGTCAGTTGTTCATTTTTATGTAAGTATTGTCCAGTTACGATTGACTATGTAGATTTTTTTTAAATCACCTAGATGAGTTTGAAACTGAAGAAAGTATGTCAAAGAAGAAAAAAATCATAATAATTATGACTTATTCTAGTATGTTATACTGTCATGTCTTGTTTTTGACAGCTCCTCAAAATTACCAGAGTATTTAAATTACCGGAGTGAAACAAAGGTGCTTTATGGATCCCTTTCTCTGGATACCACAATAATGCCTTGTGTTTTTATTGTGTTTGGTTTAGGAGTATTTTATTGATCAGCTGAGGTCAGATGGAGTTGTTCATCTCCCTCGACGTGTTACCAATGAAATTCCAAATAATACTCGATATGAATTTTATACACAAGGAGGAGTCATCTTTGCAACCAGTCGGATCCTTGTGGTAGATTTCCTTACTGACAGAATCCCTGCCAATCTCATTACTGGTAAGAGCTTAATGAAATAAAGGTAAGAGTGTTCTGTTTGAAAACACACAAAGCTTAAAAAAAAAATTCTATATGAAGAATTCTGCTAACAGATATTGAGGTCGAAGTTATTCCTTTTTTTTTTCCCCCACCAAGACTGAGGTGAAAGAAGCAAATATGTAGTTCTTTTGTTCCTTTTTTTTCCCTCTCAACTCATTTGATTTATTTAATCATACACTTTAAAAAGGCTTTCAAAGAGGAATAATTGATTGCACTTGATGAAATAGTGTCCTGGGGTCTATTGGACACTGGCCTATCATTAAAACAGATTTTAGATGTCATGCTTTATGAGCCATGCACACTACCTATATTTTTGCATTAACAAATTACTCCTGATGACTTCTCATAAAAAAATACCTTTGTATTGACAGCCTTGGATGCTATGCAAATACCAGTATTTTGAAGTAATGCTGTTACTGTAATTGTAAAGATTTGGAGAATAGCTTGCAACCTTTTTTTGTAGTTATATAGAAGCTATACATGGAAGATGTGAGAGTTACCCTTCTCTTCTCATGTTCTGTTCCCCTTCTCCCCCAGCCACTCTTGTTTTTATGTTCCTGGAAACCCTGTTACAGCCTGGAGAGCTGGAAAAAGAGAGCCAGGGATTTAAGAATATTTTACTGTTTTCTAAGTGTTAACATCTTAATGATTAAACATGGCTGAATATTGTATGCTTAGAAGAATGTGAGTTTCTGCTTCAGAAGCTGTACATCCTTCCTTTTAGTCAAGCTACAGCAAGTTCTACTGTAAAACATTTTGACCACTTTTATGCTAGAGTCAAAGAACAACAGATTTCTAAGTTCAAAAGAAGTGAATAGATTTTCTGGACAACCTGTGGTAATTTCTCTTTTTCCCTTGACTCTTTCCTCTTTACCTTTCTACCCTACCAAAGAAGAAGAAAAAAAAAACTGTTTAAAACTGATGCTGTCCTTTAGTACCACAGAGCTGTGACAGGCTTTGCATTGCCACCAGAGGTCGGTGTGAGAGCAGCTGCAATCGAGTGGTGCCTTCATTCCCAGCCTCCCAACACCTGGGTCTGTGTGCCTTGTCTGTGTGTGAGATTGTACAGCAAAATCTTGTAGTAGTGTTTCATGAGGAGATAACAGCAAAAGCCTTTCTAGGTGTTAAAAATGTAGTTTGTAAAATCAATGTGAATTAACATCTGATGAACTCATAAATCCAGCTAAAGAAGATAAGAAATGATCACTGCAGTGAAGCAGAATTATTCCTGGTGGTTTTAGCTGAGTAGAAAGGATGTACCTGACAGCACAGTGAAACTGATGCAAGTTGCTGTAGTAAAAAGTGGCAAGTTGTTTCTACCAAGGCTTACAGAGCAGGTGTGAACTCCCTGCATAAGCAGATGTTTGTTGACTAAAGACAGGAGGATATTACAATAAACACAGTCTTACTGGCCTGTTAGAAATTCTGTCTTTCCTGTCGTGTCCATCTGGGGTCACATCTTGAAAAATTTGGAAGATGTTCAGAGATGATCATTATTATGTATGGAAAAACTTGCTTCATAGAACAGATTTAACAAATTCTAGATAGAAAGATACCTTGTAGTGGGTTATTTCAGGACTTAATTATGAATGGTGAGCAGTTATATGGAAGTCTATTTTCTGGATGCTTTTTCATTTAGCAAGCAAAGGCATATTAAAACCAATGGCTGTGTGCTGAGTTGAGGAGACTTGTTGCAGAAATTAAATGCTCTGTAAGTTTATTTGCTTATGTAGGCACAAGGTAAAACCTGTGGTGTTTGATGTCCTTTGCTTCCACTTTAGAAAGGCATTTATGATTCCCCTGGAACAGATACCACATAGGCCTGAATTCAGTAGGGGGAGAGAGAAAATAATGCAATGTGCTGTTTAACATGATTAGCATGAGGAAAAACAAGCCTTGGTTTAGCAGGTCTTGGCTGAGTGAACTGTGAACTCCGGAAATGTTTGTCTCAAACACGTCATTAAATTAAACTCTTGTTTCATTTCTCTTTATTGAAATGTACTTGATAAGTCTTTTATTCCTACTGCACCTATAGCCATGAAGAAAACTGGTGGTGTACTCATATATTTGATACTTGCTGTCCTTGAGTGTGAATATGGGAAAGTAAAGCAAAATAAATGTTTTCAGAAGTTCTTTGATTATGTAAACACTTGAACTGTTACCAATTAAAGTTACTTGACAAGTCTGTAATTCCAGAATTTCTCTAAACAAAAGAATTCAACTATCACAGCCTCGAACACATCAAACTTGCTTTGTTGTAACAATGTGTTATGTCATGCATCTGCTGTTCCTGCTTTTAAAAGACTCAAGTTCAAGTTATGCCTCAGGAGTAGAGAATTTTCCTAGCTAGTAAGTCCTGCCACTCATTCACAAGCTTTTTTTTTTCCTGTTAAAGATGCATTATTAACCCAGTTCTGTTATTTGGCAATTCCATGGTACTGAAACTGAGGAGACACTTGTTTCAACCCCAGAAAGTTTGTTTATTTTAGAAGACTTAAATTCCTGTATTTAAATAACAGTAGAAGAATAAGACAGTTGTGAGGAAAAATCTGTGCAACTTGGACCTTTCTATATTTTTTTTTAACTTGATTATTTTTTTCTCTTGCCAGGCATTTTGGTGTACAAAGCACACAGAATCATTGAGTCCTGTCAGGAAGCGTTCATCTTGCGACTTTATCGCCAGAAGAACAAGCAAGGCTTCATTAAAGCTTTTACAGATAATGCAGTTGCATTTAACACTGGCTTTTGTCAAGTGGAAAGAGTGATGAAGAATCTTTTTGTTGGGAAGCTTTATCTGTGGCCAAGGTGAGGCACTTCTTTACTTCACTGGACAGTTAAACTTAGAGGAAAGATGAAGGCTGTTACAGTGGGTTTCTAAGAAAATGAGGTGTGTGCAGTCACACTGCTAATCTGTGTTGCCTCCTCAATTCCCAAACAAAACCTTTTCAGTTTTTGACACAAATAGTCTTAAAGATGCTGAATTTCTGAGAGTATTTTTGAAAATAGACTCCAATTGACTGTATTAAAGGAATTAACGTTTATGGCAGAGCGCTCCTGTTAGTCAGCAGAAATTGCAGCAAAAAGTGACATTCTTAACAGTTTAAGAAAAACTTCCCTTACTAAACAAGAGTACTTAAGCCATGAAATGACAGGAAAACAGTCTCTCAGTTCTGCTATTCATGGACGTGTTTGTTTCCAGCTGTTATGAAACTCCATGCATCTCTTTCTGCATGTCAAATTATTTTATTTTTTTTTACACACCTTTGCTGTGTATGAAGAACATTTCTTGATGACCGTTAAAAAACGAATTGCCAAAATGTAGCATGCACGGGGTCTTCCAGGAAGATCCACAAAAGGAACTGAACACTGATGACCCAGTCAGGGCTTTTGCCCTGGGCAGGGCTCTGCCCATTTGTTCTGTTAGTCCAGGCTGGAATGTGTTTCACTCCTTCTTAATGAATGGCTCCTCTGCATTGTGAATTCCTGAACAGTCTTGCAGTATCCCAGGGAAGTAGAAGTGGACATACCTGGGGTAGGAAAGGTTGAGTAGAAGCTCTCTAGATTTCCTTCCTTGACGTCCATGAAAAGACCTGGGGCTGCAGGCTGCAGTAAGGGAAATGTGGATTTCAGAGGTCAGCAGCCATGGGGCTCTCTGAGCCTCCTCCTGTCAGGAGCAGTCAGGTGGCATCTCTGGATCTGTGCAGCTGGAGTGTCTCCAAGGACAGACTTCCAACAAGGACCTGCAGGTTGGCATTGCCAGCTGAAGCATCATAAAATCTGCTGATGCAGCTGTGTGATTTCACAAAATTTATGAACCCCTTCCAGTTTCACCCTTATATGATTTTTTAGGTTTGTTTTAATATTTGTTATGTGTGATGATGATGCAGAATCCAGTGCAGTAATTTTCCGTGGATCATTCACCAGCACTGTAGGCTCACATGACTAGAATGACTACAGTCATAATTGTGGAACAGATGGTTTTCCAAGGCTGTTCATAAGATTGCAGTCTTCACATCAGTAGAAACTGATTTTGGAATTAACTTAGTTGTTTACATTTTAAATAATTGTAATTGTACTTTGTACAAACTTTTGAGTAATTCTAAGTCAAATAAAACTACCCATGTAAATCTTAAGAAGCTGTTTTTCTCTTAGATTTCACATAGCAGTGCACTCGTTTTTAGAGAAGCATAAACCTGAAGTGGTGGAAATCCACGTGGCAATGACCCCTGCTATGCTTGCCATCCAGACTGCAATCCTGGACATTCTGAATGCATGTCTGAAGGAACTGAAACGTTACAACCCAGCTCTTGAAGTAGAAGATCTGTCTTTAGAGAATGCTATTGCTAAACCTTTTGACAAGGTAACAATTTTGATTGTTCTGCAGTGTCTAAGTAACGGGCTATAGATCTCCAGAGTGCCTGCCATGCAGACAGAAATGTTATTTGCAAAGTAAATAACCAGCAGCAGCTGAGTGTTCTCCCATGACATGTACTGGTACAAGGGGATGGAATGGTGATGTGACAGTTGCCAGCAGGATTTTTGATGTATTGGTGTTACTGTTCTTCCTTCATTTCCAAAGTCCCAAGAGTAAGAACATCCCAGTTCGTGGTTATAATAATGATTGTTGCTGCTGTTATTAAAAAGATAGCTGCAACTTCAGCTCAGAACACTTTGGAGATAAGTATCAGTAATTGCCATACACATACTCCCTTTTTCCTTCTGAATTTCTTGCTTGTGTTTTTTTTTCTCTAGTAGGAGAAGCACTGTGTGTACTAGACAATATGTACATGCATGCATCTGCTGTATCTTTAATCATTATGTATGTCCATAACTTTGGGTTCACTGTTATTTTTGACAGATCTGCAATGTTTGGCACACAGATGCTTTTGTTAGGGTGAAATCAACTGTCATAGTGCAACACAGTTATTGGTTAACTGATTTAATCTGGATGGAAGGCCTTCTGAACTTTGGATATTTGAAGGTTCTTTCTTGGGCTCTATAAGTTGCACATCTTCATGGTACCTATCTTGATTTTGGAAACTAAATGACATTATAATGTTTTTTTCTGTACCTAAGTAAAGGACATTAGATACTAAATACAACAGGCCAGTACCAATAAAATAAGGGTGTTTTTTTATAATTTTACCAGTATTTTGTTATTAGATGAAGAGGAAGAAGTTCACTGAAAGCATTAAATTATATATGCTAATTGCTGAAATGTGTTTCACAAAGACATCTATATTATGTTAACTTTGCTAAAATATAGTAACTTATATCAAAACAAACATCTCACCAGTACATATTTTTTTTGGTATCTATAATAACTTTAGGAAACCAGAGCCTGTAAAGTTAAAGTGCATTCTCAGCTTGTTAGAAGCTATAGTGCAATACTGTATGTTTGACACTCCAAACTTTCCAATTTTAATTTCCAGACAATCCGCCACTATTTAGATCCTCTCTGGCATCAGCTCGGAGCTAAGACAAAGTCTTTGGTGCAGGATCTGAAGATCCTACGTACTTTGCTACTGTATCTAACCCAGTATGATTGTGTCACTTTCCTTAATCTCCTGGAGTCACTGAAAGCAAGTGAAAAAGCTTTTGGTGAGAATTCAGGTAAACATGGAATAACCATACAAGTTAATGCATGAAACGGTGCAATGTTGATGTTTTTTAATTATCATTCCCAAACATGTGAAGGTACCTAATTAGGTTTTACACAACCAGCCATAAGGACGTAGGTTTTTATTGACAGATAATTCTTTCATCTTCCCACTTAACTGCTGTTACTTAACAGAGTGAGATTTGCATCACATTTTTGTCATTTATTAAGCTGGTGATTACACAGCAAGCAGGTAGGGCAGGTATTCCAGCTGAAGATCTGGGGCTTTAATTGCAGAGGGTTGGAAGACATAAACATTGCAGATGTCAAACTACTACTGCTTCCTTCTCATTTCCTCCCCAGGCTGGCTGTTCCTTGACTCCAGTACTTCAATGTTTGTGAATGCTCGAGCTCGAGTTTATCGCATTGCAGATGAGAAACTGAATCAGAAAGGCAAAGGCTCAGGCTCTGAAAAACGTGATGTAAAGAAGGAAAATGGTACTGATCATTCCTAATTTCTAATTTTAAGTTTAAGAGTGTCACACGATTCCAAGTGCTTTGCATATTATTACTTGTACTCTGGTTCCCTGCATGAACTTCCACAGCTCAGGATCTCAGTCTGTTAGCTGGGATAAATTGAGATATAATCTTAGTTCCAAAAGCATATGATCAACAACGTAAAAGAGTCACGACGTAGGGATTCTCCTAAGCTTGCTCAGCTGATCACTGGAAGAGCTTTTGTGAAATTGTTCTTGCATTACATTGATGTTTAGCTTCATCTTTATTATCTTATGTGAAAGAGTAGGAGGCTGTGGTTGCTTTTATTAAAAAAATATATTCAGGAGTTTCAGAATTGAAGAATGAGTGAATACTTCAGTGTTTTGCTTCACAAAAGCATTTATCTCCATTTTTAAATTTAAGAGTGTTCTCCACCTGATTAGCATAACAAGTTGCATATGTAGGCTGTTGAATATCATATGTGCCAACAACCATCACACTAATGACATCTAACCACTGCTTTAAAGTCTGAAGGATATTTTGCCTGCAAGAGCTGCTATGTTCAATCTTACTTTCTTTCAGAACTGAAAAGGGAATTGGTTCTAGAAAGTAACCCAAAATGGGAAGCTTTGAGAGAAGTACTGAAAGAGATTGAAAATGAGAATAAGAACAGTGACAACCTTGGCGGTCCAGGTGAGAGAATATGAAACCCTGCAAGTTTTCCATGAATTCTACTGGTTTGTACTTCTGCTTGACCTTGGAGAGAAGGAACTAACCCTTTTCTGTAGTTTTATCAAAGAGCTGGTTTAAATTTAGTAATTTGTGGCCTCAAGATGAGGAATTTCTGTACATTATGTACATAAATTATGTAAAATTAAACTTTTATTAGGTCTTGCTCTAAAAGAGAAATGCTGTTCCTACAATGCAATACTTTTTAGGAAAGAACCTGCATTATTCTGAAAAAACATTTTAGGTTACATTTCAGTAGTGTACTGATACCTTAGTTCCAAGCCAAATAAAACAGATATGGAGATTTATAATGATTAAGGTGCCATTCACTCATTTCTGAAGTTTGGGTTCAGAACAAAAATAGGGGTTCTGTCTTACACCCTTTCTGACTTGCACATTCTTCTCATGCATCTGAAAATTTGCTTTGCATGGTTTGTATATAAATGAGGTAGAGATTAGGAGGCAGGGAAGAGAGTCTAACTGCTTTGCTGCCTTTCCTAATTTAGGGCTTTTCATTCCCTTAAAATTTAGCAAGTTTTATTTTAGGAAATAGTAAGGGTAAAAAAGTGCTCTTTTCTCCCACCCACAGTGTTCTGACTCTGGGTAAGAACTGGCTCTCTCTCCTAGTGTTGTAGGAGTTTATCTGAGTCAGCTTGCAGAGAATTGTTATTCACCAATGTCAATAATACTGTGTGAAACATGTGTTTTGTAGATTCTCTAACACAGCTGACAAATTAGAATGGTCTAAATTAAGTTCTCTCTTATTCCACATCTTAAAAACGAGTAGTTGTTCAAGTATGTTTCAACACGCACTGTATCTGCCTCATTTCCAGTGGTCAGAAGGAAAATTTATGAATTTAGATATTGTAAGAAAAAGAAATGTTGAACTTCCATTAATCTACTCTAATTTTATTTGGTACAAAAAGCCACGCGATTTAGATTCTCTCAAAGTTCAGAGCAACTGTGGCAGCCGAATGTGAAGGCATTTGGCAGGCACAGGGCTTGGATCAGTGCAAACCATTGGCTCGGGAGGTGCTTTAGCTGGATAAGAAGCACAGCATTACAGGCTGTAAACATGGTATTGTTTCTTGACTGCAGGGCAAGTGCTCATTTGTGCCAGTGATGACCGAGCCTGTGCACAGCTCAGGGAGTGTATTATTACTGGAGCAGAAGCTTTTCTAACAAGACTTTATAACAAAACCTTCGGAAAGGACGAGAAAGCTGGAGAAGTGTGGATTAAGGACAGAAACGCCACAAAGTCCAAAGGAAATGCCAAACCAGACACAGGGCCTCAAGCCAAAAAAGCCAAGCTGACAGCTTCTTCAAAACAAAATAAACAGAAGAAGCAGCAAGACCGGACTCTAATCCAAATGATAGGGAAAACTGAGGAGGAAAAGAGAGAAGAGGTCGAGGTGGAAGACAACAAAGAATTAAGTGGTAGCCAAGAAGGCAACACTGAAGAGACCATTCCTGAAGATTTTGATTTCAGCTTGCCCTCAGATTGTTACTATGGGATTTTCAAGGACCCACTGACAATTATCCACCCGCTGCAGGGCTGTGGGGATCCCTACGCACTCACTCGGGTGCTGCACGAAGTAGAACCCAGATATGTTGTGCTGTATGATGCAGAACTCACTTTTGTTCGGCAGCTGGAAATCTACAAGGCAAGCAGGCCTGGGAAGCCTTTGAGGCAAGTTGGCTTGGCCAGGGTAATTCTAGTCTAAATAGAAAAAATTGGAAGTGCACTGTCAGCAGTCAATGCAGAACATGCTGCTGTTCAGTTTCATTAGCTACCTTCCAGTTCCTGTTGAGCCCTTAAGTTTAAACAAAAGCAGAATGTCTGGTGTAACCAAAAGATAATTTTTACTTTCCAGCAGGTATTTAGTCCCTTAACAGCAGAAGCATATCTGTTAAAAAAAAGAAACCATTCCAAGATCTCTGCTTCAATGATTTTAGTGGCAGAAGATAATTTTCAGGTGGTGTAGTCTCATTTTAAACCATCTCTGAAGATATGATTTTTAAAGAAAAGGATTCATTTTGGGTTAATTAATTTTCACAGTTCCTGATGTTCATCATGCTGAAGACCAGTAATTCAGAAATTGGAACAGAGAAGCAAGTAAAGGAAGCACAATAAAGAAAATTAGTATTTGCAATTATAGCAACTGACAGAAAGATCACCACATTGGGTATATGTATTTAATACACCTGGAAATTGCAAAACTCAGTTTTATGAATAAATGTCACATCCTGATTAAAAATATAGAAAACTTAATATGCTATTAACTAACTTGTCAGGCATTTACTGCTGCTAACCTTAAATTTACTGGTGGTGAATTTTTTAAACTTAATACCAAGTTTTGTGACCTCTTTTTTTTTTTCTCTTTTATACCTACAGAGTTTATTTCCTCATATATGGGGGCTCCACAGAAGAGCAGCGCTACCTCACAGCTCTGAGGAAGGAGAAGGAGGCCTTCGAAAAACTCATTCGGTAACACAGTTGAACTGCCCTTAGAATTAGGGTTTCATATAATTCCCCAATACTAATTCAAGTAATTCAATATTAATTCATGTAATTCCCCAACATTTTAAATAGAGTGATGTTCTTAACTGTGTGAAGGCTTTAAATAAACTTTTAATTCAATTCTTTGTCAGATGTAAAGACTACTTTCCTATTGAGAATCACCAAAAAGTCAAAACTTTCCTTTTCAAAGCACCTGGTATTTCTTTCATTAATTTTAGCAGGATTTAATATTAACATAAAGGCTAATCAGCATTGCTTGAATTTTTTCCTAATTGTCTATGAAGTTCATTTGTGTAATTGTGTTTTTGCAGGTAACATTTCTTGTAAGATAATTTCTAAAGCTCTTATAACCTAAGTTGGGTAAACAAAACATTTCCTTAGACTGTATAAGATAGTATTTTTACTGACAGTGCCTTCTCACAGGTTACAGTGCTATTGCTAGTCATTAGTTCCTTTGTAAAAGGAAAAACCTAGAAAAACTCAGAAAATTGCATTTCTGATCGGGCTTGCATTTAGTATTAAACTATATATCATTTTACATCTGGATGAAGGGTATTTCAATCTTCTTTACTCCTGCATTTGCAGTTTTTAGTGTATGTTTGTTTGTGGTCCCTTAGAGAGAAGGCCAGCATGGTTGTTCCTGAAGAAAGAGAAGGAAGAGATGAAACAAACTTAGATCTCCTCAGAGACGCCAGACCTGCCTCTGTCTCTGCTGACACACGCAAAGCAGGTAAGCAGCTCCTAGGTCAGCCTTGCAGCCCAGAGCTTCCCAAAAATCCCTGAACTATTGCACCTTAAATCTCCCTCAGAGTGTCTGGGGCAGAGACACATTGTACATTGGCATCATGCTAAAGAAACATTTTTTCCCAGTGACAATGAACTGTGGTTTCCTTTGAAAGTACAGGTTAATGAAGTATTTGACCATTAAGATGGATACCATTTGGATTGTTCCTAGTCAGATTCTTGGTTATGAGGCTGTCTAGTGCTGCTTGTAGGAAGAGAAATTAAAACATAGAAACTGAAGTCTACAGATGGTCAAAGGCAGTGTTGTCCTTGAACTAGTAAATGATGGGGATTTCTTTTCATCTTGACAAAACATGCTGCCTGGGTAAACAACTGCCCATTATGGGTGTGATCACTTCCTTTGTAGTCCTTTTTTCTTTTGTTGCAATTCCAACCATATTTTTGTTCTTTTCCTCTGACAGGTATGCTATGCCTCTGCCTGTTTTTCTTTACTGTTGTTTCTGTAATCCTGTTCTCCTTTGCCACATGCTCTCTAATCTTTGCTATTACATCTTTTGTGGCCTTGGTGCTGCAGTCTTTTTATGTGTCCTGCAGATCTGTAGAGCGCAACACATAATTCCCACAATAAAGTGCTGTATTTCTGTGGGAAAGAGCTGGAAATAAAAGGGATCAGCTTCATTATCTTGTTTTGCAGGCAGCCTTTTACAGATTTCCCTGATTCATTTAAATAATTTTCATCTACAGCTTAATCTATTTCATTGTCACCTATACAAACCTTTCAGCAAGCAACATGGTAGTTCTATCAAGCTGCAGAGCATGCTCCATAAACTACAGTATATATTTAGGCAAGTAAAACAGTTAAAAATCAAATGAAGTCTGTATTTATTGTACTGCTGAATTTGAGGTATAACTTAAGATGAGAAGTCCATCCATTGCAGAAGCCTTGGCAGCACACAGGAAAACCACCAGAGCAGGATGTATGGGGATAACTGTGTTTACTTTGCCCTTCAGGTGGACAGGAACAGAAGGGTGTCCAGCAAACCATAATCGTGGATATGCGGGAATTCCGTAGCGAGCTTCCATCCCTGATCCATCGCCGTGGCATCGACATCGAGCCCGTGACTTTGGAAGTTGGGGATTATATTCTAACCCCTGACGTCTGCGTGGAGCGCAAGAGCGTCAGCGATCTGATCGGGTCCCTGAACAACGGCAGGCTGTACGCGCAGTGCGTGGCCATGTGCCGCTACTACAAGCGGCCGGTGCTCCTCATCGAGTTTGATCCTAACAAACCCTTCTCCTTGATCCCACGAGGCTCTTTACAGCCAGAAATTTCCAGCAATGATGTTACTTCTAAACTGACCCTTCTCACGCTGCACTTCCCAAAGTTGCGAATCCTGTGGTGTCCCTCTCCCCACGCTACTGCTGAAGTCTTTGAAGAGTTGAAACAAAACCATCCCCAACCCGACGCAGAAAAGGCGATGGCCGTCACCGCAGACTCCGAAATTCTCCCCGAGTCAGACAAGTACAACCCTGGGCCTCAGGACTTCCTGCTGAAAATGCCAGGGGTTAATGCAAAGAACTGCCGTGCCTTAATGACCCACGTTAAAAGCATTGCAGAGCTGGTGACGCTGTCCAAGGACGAGCTGGCCAAGATTTTGGGTAATGCTGCCAATGCCACACAACTCTTCGACTTTATTCACCTGACCTATGCAGAGGCACTAGCCAAAGGAAAAAGCAAAAAATGACTCATGAGATTGTTCAACACACAGCACAGATAAGCTTTGCTGGCACAGTACTTTGGCAAATACATGAAATATTTTAATAAATGCCCCCTCTAAGATAACCAGCTGTTTCTTGCTCATGCTATTCCATCAGTTTTAATATGTGAGTTAATTATTACTAAAGGCAAGTTTCAAGAGGAAAAAATATTTTTAATAGAGAAATATGAATTATTTTTATTCTTTTTAAAGCACTTTAACCAATTCTATAATATCACTGAATTAACTAAATTTCTAACTGAAATTAGAAATTTCAGTTAGAAAACTGAAATAAATTTCTAATTGAATTAACTAACTTTCACCAAGACCATAAGAATTAAGTGCTAAGACTAACTGATAAAGGTGTTTTCTTGTGAAAGTTATGATGTCTTGTTCAAGCTAAAAATGTGCTGTGTTTTGATTAGTCTGGCTGACCTGCTGCATGATACAACACTGCTTTTGCCATTTTTAATGTCTCATTCTCTGGCAACTGCCACTTTTTGATTGACAGTGATGAAGCTATTTGAAACACGTTGTGGTCTTTGCTCAGGAGTTTATTTAGACTATACTGGGACTGAATCCTGAATTTTAGAACATGACCATAAGCCTTTGTCACAGTAAAATCCATTTGTATGCTATGCTCTGCATTTTGCTTGCTTACCCTACTACCAATTACACTTTTTACCATTACAAAGCCGGTACAGCTCTGTCCTGCTAGATTTTACAAAGTGCTTTCCTTTGGTCTAACTGGGTGGAAATTCTGTGGTGCCACAGAGCAACTTAATTTTGAGTGTGCCTTACTTACACTTTTAAGAGGCTTTGTTTTTTACTCAGTTTTGATAGCTCTTTCACTTGAAAGTGAAAAATCTGGGTATACCATCAGCACTGTTCCTTTATACCAAAGAATATTTCCTCTTGTATAATGCAGTCATTTTCTAAGCAAGGTTTTCCAAAAGTGTTGAAAGTTCTTCCAATATTGGCTTCTTTTGTGTCCTATTGCTCTTGTATTTTTATGTTCCAAATCAACTGTCTGTCAATAACCTCAGTAAAGCCATTGTCACCTAGAAGATAATACTTTTAGTGTTTTGTGTAGCATAAAAGAAGGAAACGTTTGTGAATATGTGCATTGTTAAATTATATATTCTACATTGAACTTTGATACAACTGTGTACAAACTGCCATTGCCAAAAGGGTTGGTCCAGTGTTATTCCATGCTAATGTATTTACATTTGTTATTTACAAAACCTTTATCTATGACTTGCACATGTATTTATATGATTCTAATGGGAACAACAGACCAATATTATCTCCTTTGTGAAAGAAGAAAATATTTTTTGTGTTCAGGTTTGGTAAAAACTGTACTGTGAACTTTCAGGTAAAATGTTTATTGTGCATTTTAAGTATGAATTATGAATTGTTAACTTTAATCTGTGGTTGAGCTATAACAAATTTCCAAGGGAACATTTTTCTGCATATGCAAATTTTAGTATTAAATACACCCATAATAAGATTAAAATTTGTTCATTATCTTGTTTTGCATTTGGCTGTATTGATATCAAAACATTTATATTTTTAGTGTGTGGTTTACAATCCAGATCTTTGGGTTTCTATTGCTCTAGATTCTAATTTATTTAATATCAGAAGAAGTCTTTCCATTTTGACTTTTGCTGATTCAAACTAATGTTGTCAGATGTGCAGAGGGTTGAGAATGCTGTAAAGTGGTGCTAAGAGAACTGGAAATCAGAGTAAGATCCAAGTGTCCTGAGTGCATGGCCTTGGAGCCTGATTGAGAAAAGGGCAGCTGAGCAGCCTTGGAGAACAAACATTGCTTGTGCAATGGGCATTATGGTGCTCCATGAACTGTGGCTTTGGGGTTTTTCACAGATGCTGCCTCAGCTGTCAGTGAGGTTTGGAGTTTTTGCATTGATGTGTATGGGGTGAAAATGAAGGGATAGTAATGGGTGATAAAGTTGTAGCTTTGTGTTGTGTGCTAGATCAAAGTTACATCATGAAATTAAATAATTATTTGCTAAACATTTTAATGAAATTGCCTTTTGATTATAGGTGTGGAATTTTCCTTTTTCCTTCTCTATGCAGGATTTGCCCCTTTTCTCTAGAACAGCACAAGTACATGTTGTTGTATGTTATTATTGCTCCTGTGCTTTGGCATTTCACTGCATTAGGTGTGGTGGCCAGTGAGAGCTGTGTCCTCCTGTGTCCTGTGTCCACAATCAGGACTGTGCTCCAAGGGGGGGAGAGGTCCTGTCTCCTGAAACCACTTACACCTGAAATCATAGAGCCCAAGGCTCTGCCTGAATGCAGTCACACACAGGGCTGGGTCAATGATGAAAACCCTCTCTTTGACCAGCAGTCATGGAATTTGTACATCTTGTCATTGCTGATGTTTTAAACTTGTGCTTTTTTATTAAAAAAGCAAACACCCCCTGCCTTCAGTTTTGGAGTGTCTCAGCTTCTTGCTTGTCCCCAAACCAAGACTCCATGTTCCCAGGTCCCTCAGTAGGTGAAGCCTCTCTGTGAGGGGTTCACATGCTATAGAGTTGCCAAGTTGCTCCTTTCTGCAACTTCTCCTGGGCTTGGATCACTGACAGTTCTTTTGGAATAACCACACAACCTTTTAGAAGTAAATGTAGCTTGTATTACCAAATCTATTTAGCCCAGGACCCTTTTATGTGCTTCATAAGTCTTTAATATTTTGTTAACTGTTAGGTACCTTCTTGCACTGAAAATACACATACCAATAGTATCTGCACCTTCTTAATTCACGTCTTGATAAGGTTTTGCAAGGAAATACTCAAATGTTATGAGTTTCAGAGCCATTTTTTATTTTGAGTACAAAATGTTAGGAACTCATCTCCCAGACTTTTCAATACAAAGAGGCTGATTGTTTTTTTAATTGAGTTTTGATCTGTATTTTGAAAGCTTCTCCTCAATAAATTAAAGGGAAGAAATATCCTCTGTCAAAGTCTTGAAAACCGTGAAGTAGCTTGGCTGGCCAAGACTTAGCTGAGAGATGGATTCTTACTGAAGTTAGTGAGGGTAACCAGGGCTGCTGCACTGCTATGGTGATTTCTTGTCTAAACAGAAGATGCTGCTGCAATATGTCAAAATGGGCCTGTGTATGTGCTAAGTTTAGCATCATTTTTTTTAAAGCGTGATAAAATTACCTTAATCCACAACTTCTGTAAAGCAGACTTCCTAGGAATATGTAATCAGGGCTAAATAGGTACCAGTTTCTCAGCTTGCATTTTACCCTTGTTCTGTCTGTGAGAGCTTCCCTCTATAAATTAAAGCATAGTTTTCATTTCTAGGGTCCTCAGTTCCTCATTGTTACTTCTTTTTTCTTTCACCTTAATCATCTCCCATCAAAGAGCAGGAGCCTGGAATTATTAAACAGCTGACATTGTTTCCAAGCTGGCATTTTCAGTCAGCTGTGCAATCTTGTTCTTGCACTCTCAGCTTCCTCCTCAGCTCCCAGAATGACACTTAGACCATTCTTATTTTTATTGGTTTTTGTTTAGGAAAACACGGTGGCTATGTGACAAAATCTTTGGAACTGACTTGCCTTTTTTAATGTAACCTTTCTCATGTAAATTCTGATCACAATCAAAAGTCAGAGTAAAACCACATGCAAGTCTTCCTGTTTATGAGATGCTAAGGTGCTATTGTCCACAGAAACATGCTAACCTTCAAATTTTAGCATCAACATAAAAACCATCTCCCAAGTGATCCAAAGGCCAGGAGTTTTCCCAGTGAAATTGGCACAAGAAGCCTAAACTTGACAAGGCTGCATTTTAGCCCCCTAAAAATAGGCAGCATAATTCTAATCTGAGCTCTTTGCACAGAGCCCTGCAGTTCCATGAGGATACACAGTGAGACATGTGCAGTGTCCCTCCCCTGAACATCCTGGGGTGAAGGGGATGTCCCAGCAGTGTCCCTCCTCTGAACATCCTGGGGTTAATGGGATGTCCCAGCATTGTCCCTCCTCTGAACATCCTGGGGTTAATGGGATGTCCCAGCATTGTCCCTCCCCTGAACATCCTGGGGTTAATGGGATGTCCCAGCAGTGTCCCAGCATTGTCCCAGCTGTGCAGCTGCAGTGGAGATCTGTGAGTCCTGTACTCACAGCATCATTTAGCACGGAATTAAGTAACATTTTACAGTTTCTTCATCACTTTTTTTCTTGTGAAAATGTAAACTCCTGTGAATTTACTTTATTGTGAGATTCTCTATTCAACTTTTATCTTTCTTCTATTTTTCCTCTGGAATTTTCTGATTTATTTCTTTTTTACATCTCTTATCCTAACCATGACTGTCTGTATTCTTGTCCTTTTGTTTCCCCTCAAGAATGCTGCTGAAATATTGTGGCAATTTGTGATATCTGTTGAGCACAAATAACACTGAATTCTTTGCAAGACTGGCTGCACTGGAGCCTTGATCATAAGTGTCCAGCACTTATGATCAAGGGGATTACATAAAAAAAGTATTGTACTTTGCTTTCATTTTGGCCCCAGCCTTGAGGCATGTCACATTTGGAAAACTGACACCAGGGAAACGAGAGCAGCAGGTTGGCAGTTCTTGCAACATTAAATTCTTGGATTTGCCTTACATTTCTTTTGAAACAGATTAAAAGCAGTCCAAATAACAGATACAATAAAATAATAATCAGTTGATTTTATAAATTTTTCCCACCCTGGAAAAATTTTGAAGTATTTTTTACATGTCACAAAATTCTTGGAATCTTATTCATAGATAGCAAAAGTTGGAAATTTTCTTGTGGCATTTATATCTCACAACCATTTTTACATATTGCAGTACTACAATTGGCAAGTTCTCAGATCCTGCAAAAAGTCTTATGCCATGCTTAAGCATTTACATTAGGGTGTGGGAGATCTGCAACAGCAAAAATATTAACTGCATGTCTTCTACTTTTGTCTAATTTTTCTTTATCCCCTTCTCTAACTCCTCCTATTGTCAAAATATGCTTTATTTCTGCATCATCTTAAATCTCTGAATGCTGAGTGTTAGGAAGAACTCCAGTCTATAAAATCAACATGTATTTGTGTTAAGCTATCACAATTCTAACTTCTGGAGTCTCTGTAATGCTCTTGTTTCATTTGTTACAGAAGCATTTGGAAATCTATCAATCCATTTTCCCTACAGCCTACACAATGTCTTCCCAACATTGACAGCAAGGGGGGCAGACACTCCTAACAAAAGCTGGCCAGGATGGAAATGTTCAGGTCACCTTTAGCTATAGCCCAACAGCAAAATCTAGAGACCCTTCAAGAAAAGTCCTGCCCATACTAAATACGAAAAAATACCTGAAATCTGAAGGTAGACACGTCCTGTGCAAATCTTGGTATACGAAACACTGTCTATACAGACAGTCCTTCAGAAAATGAAGATGTCTCAGACAAGCCTTGAACTGCAGCAATAAATCTGGTGTATTACAGTTCATATAACTATTAAAGTTGCCATTTTCTTAAATATTTGCATTATACTGCACATCACTAGCTGACAGAAGTCACAACCAAGTTCTTCTTTTTCACTTTAATATTTACTTGACAGAAGGTCTGAATCACATACTAAGGTATCCAAGTTCTTTTCCACAAAGTACTATTGGTATTAAAATGAGATTTGGGGTTTTTGGTCAGCCCCACCAGCTCCTTAGGGATCTCTGACATATTTCTAGTGGCTTCAATAACTCTT